ATTTATTTATTTTAGATGATCTTCATTACAATGACTCATGTTTTCTCACACAGAGGACAAAAGAAAGACAAGAAGCAGCATCATTTGATATACTTCAGTTGGTGTTTTCCATCAGCTTGTTCAAAGATATCAGACTGCCTGATGAGGACGAGGGACAAGAACTCAGTGTCGTCTGATGGCAAAGCTCTAATTTGTTCCAGATTATGTTGCACATGCATGGAAACGATGAGCAGGCCTCTTTGTGTTCATTGTTTCCTCACTGATTCCATCAAAACAAACAGCGATGCACAATGTAAAGCTAAACTATGAGGGTCTTATAACTCATGGAGAACCTTCCAGCTTTAAAGCCACACAGCCACTAGTTATTATGTAACAGTGAGAATCAAACTGGTGCCCTATGATAACCACGACCTGTTACGGCCTGTAATTTGTTTTTCACTCTAAAAAAAAAAAGATAATATTTTTTCACTGACTCCACCTGCACACAGTCTGAAACAGGACTGCAGCTGCTGCAAATGTTTTTATTGCTTTTTCTTCTGAAATTTCTCAGGAATAAAAAGTTTTAAATGACAAAGTTTGCCTTTGCAGCTCACAGAACAAAGCCCAGGGATCAAACTAGATTTACAGTCTTTAATCTCAAATGATGGGTCAACAGAATTTAAATCTGTTTGAGTTTTTGATGGTAACTTTAAATAAAAAAAAAACATGATAGTCCAGCTACAAAAAGTTATTTGCTAGAAGTTTCACTATAATTAAATATTTATAACCTTCTGAATAAAATATCTTGTGTAAGAGTTTTATTAGCAGCAGGAAGACAAATGGTTTAAAGGTGTTTACAGGCCCAAAGCAGGAGCTGTAATATCTGTACAGGAAGTCGTGACAAAGAAGTGTCTTACTGCAAAAAACGAACTCTCCTGCTGCCCTGGAGTCAAAACGACCACCGAGGGTTTGACCCAAGGACAGGAGGAGGGTTCAACAAATCTGAAACAAAATGTTAATTACAGGATTACTGGATTTCGGTGTCCAGGTTTGAAGTTATTAATGCATATTTGTGAATTAAATAGTGTCTGTAAACCAGGGGTCCCCAGACTTTTTCCTGTAAGGGCCACATAACTTTTCCCTTCTCTGGTGGGGGGCCGGAGTCAGTTTGTAACAGAARAAGTGTGACTATTGCAGGAGTGCCTAAATGTAAAAATTTATTGTTTTCCAGAAAGCACAATCAAATAACCCTCTCTGGGTTCTTCACAGTATATTCTGCTAACAGTCCACTTTTTAGCTTTGAGAGTTTGTTTGCTCACATTTGGCCTTGCAAGCTATCATACTTGTCTTTGTGACGGGATTCATGGTGACGCCGCAGATTGTATTCTTTGAATACCGCCACCGCCTCTTGACAGATGAACAAAAAAAAAATCGTTTGTCCACTGAAGCTTAAAGAGTAACTTACCCCAAAATTAACTTTTTTTTAGCTGATAAACTGTCTAGAATGTGTCTAAAATGTTATATAGTACTGTTTCTGTGCTAATTTT